TGTGTATTTAAGTCGTGTCTTCCGTCATTGTAGTTGCTGGTCCGTCTGTGTTTCCACCCTGCTTCATCTGTGTGTTTCCCTGCAGTCAACCATCATCTGTTTCCGCCCGCTCTCATTCATGTCCAGGTTCGTGTTCTGTAGTTAGTTTGTTCCCAGTTTAGTTTAGTCATTGCTCCGTTCGCCGTTTGTCCATTTCCTTTTTGTGTTTAATAAACCACCTTCACACCCTCATGACTGCCTGCGTTTGGATCCTCCTTTATTTTCCACACGGCTCATCTCACTCGCCGTGACACTTATGATCAGATGCAGACCCTTTTATCTGCCCAGGGAGTTTACAGCAGTATTCTGTACCGCTGTTTACATTCCCCCCCACGCTGAAACCACACGGGCACTGGACGAACTGTTTGACATTATCGACCGGCAGGAAATGCTACACCCGGAGGCTGCTTTTATCGTGGCTGGTGACTTTAATAAAGCCAACATGAAGAAAGTTCTGCCTAAGTTTTACCAGCACGTAAACTTTCCAACGTGTGGTGATAACATCTTAGACCATGTTTACGCTCCATACGCACATGCCTGCAAAGCCCGCCCCGACCGGCCTTCGGCAAATCAGATCACTCCTCAGTTCTGCTGTTGCCAGCCTATAGGCAGAAGCTGAAAAGCAGCCAGCCCATGACGCGTAACGGACTTTATTCATAAATGCATCAATGACGCCGTACCGCGGGCTGTTGTACAAACTTACCCCAACCAAAAGCCGTGGGTTAACGGAGAGGTCCGTGCAGCGCTCAGAAGACTGCAGGCTTTAAATCCGGAGACCCAGGTGAATACAAAACATCCCGGTATGCACTCAGGAAAGCAATAAAGACGGCCAAGGGACAGTACAAAGGAAAGGTGGAACTCTGCTACAGCTACTCCAACACCAGGAGCATGTGGAGCGGTCTGAAGACCATCACAGACTACAAGGGAAACAGCAGGAGAGTGAGGGAGGCAACGGCTTCTCCACCTGATGATCTCAACACCTTCTATGCATGCTTTGATAAACATATATCTCAGGAGAATCAAGTCCTGCGTCTAAGCTCAGTGTGAGGAGGGATTACGACAGCAGGGTACCAATAAGTAAGATCAAGTAAGTCAATAAGATAGTCAATAAGATAGTTAAATCTCGTGAAACCACGCGTGATTTCATCTCGCGGGCTTTGGATCGTGGTTTAAAAAAGGCATCCATCTCAGTCAAGTCGAGCAGCCAACTCTACGTTTTTGGTATGTCTTGATTTTTTGAATTAATATTTACCATATTTCAGCCAAATGTAGTTAAACGTCTAGAGTGTCGCCATGTAACATGCTAAAAAAAGAGCCGTTAGCTTATTTGCTGTTTTATCTGTTGACAAAGAATTGGCGCTTTTTCATTTGAATTTGTCTTTGGCACAAGAGCCGTAATATCACATTAAACCTAATTACGAGGCACTCATAACATAGTTTTCTGTGTGAATAGATTTGCCAACTGACTCTTCAGTTACATTGTGTATTTACTGCACCGTGGTGTTAGTGAGATTTTGGACATTGAACAGCTTTAGCTAATATCATCAGCAGCATTATGCTAGCTTACATCCCTACCCCTCCTGCCCTCACCTGCTGTCCTTTTGTTTTTGTTTTTTTTGCTGCACATTGAGAGACCACCTCTATTCTATGTTTTTCACTCTCTCTGAGAAACTCTGTTAGACCATGAATGGCAGCATGGCAGGCCACTCTTTGGCTATAGCTATTTACTATGTTGCTTGCATTGGTGTTAAATTACTCTAACATTAGAACTGGTAGATTCAAAAGAGATGAGTTTAAAAAGGAATCTTAAAGAAATGTTTTGTGTTTAACCAGGACTTGACTGAGGCCACTGCACAGATTGAGAAAACCACAATGAACATCTGTCTCCAGAGATGCGCCAGGCAATGACTTTTCTGATGTTGTTCTTCAAGATCTGGATAACGTGACCTTTGCAGTAGCCATGCTGTTTGGACCTTTTTTATTCCTTCAACATGAGTTACCCATCACAACTCTGCTACACTTTTGAGGTGATTCAAAGGGTGGTAATGGAGTTGGATGCAACTCAGCTCTCAAGAAAAGCTCACAACTAAGACAAAACTGCTCCTGCAAGGAAAGCTCACTGTTATGCATGTGAGGTGACCAGCTCTAGGTGAGAGGACATTTAAATCTCACACTTGTTCTGCTGCATTTTTGAAGCTCAATTCCAGGAACAGATCGCAGGGTTCATTTTTATATACTCTGCAACTGCCATGAGGACAGGGCCGTTTTTTTGTTGTTGTTTGTTTTTCCTTTTGCTCTGTACAAGTTCTGTTTGTCTGTTTGGCAGCATTTTTAAATTTCTCTTTGTATTTTTTCTTTCTTTTACTAGTGAAGAGATGTAGCGTGAACAGTTATACAGTCTAAATATCCCATATGGGTCGTGTGAAATGGTATTTTCAGTTTCATTCAGTTGAAGTAAAGAACGTTGAATATTTCTAAGTGTGCTGTTTTGAACCAACATGTCACAGTATGATCAGTGCTGTAATTTTTGACAGTCACTGTATCAATGTTATTTTTGCATCTCTTGAATAAAGGTTTTGACCTGCAAGTGCTAATTTCTTTAGTTATTGGGGTAAAATGGGTAATGTTAATAGGAAGGTGTTTGCCAATTCAGTAACCTAATTTAATGTTAATGGAAACTAACATTACCTCAAATTGTTTAGTTATAATTGTTGTTTAACTGAATCTTGATGTCAGAGGCCTTAAATAGAATGTTTTGTATTGTTCTTTCCCAACATTTTTCAAAAGAAACAGTCTAATTTCTTTGCTGTGATTGATTCCAGAGAACACGGAAGAACTGACATTATTTAACTGTTGATTTATATAGATTCAGTAGAGGAGTAATGTCAGTTTAATTCTTTACCTACTGTCAATGCAGTGAAATTAGACATTTTGTTTTGAAAGGTTACTGGTGGATGCCAGCAACCATCTTGGAAGAGAACAATACAATCTGTTATAAGGCCTCCATTTGAAAATTGTGTATTTGATACTAGAATATAATAGCAAAATGTAATTTGAAGATAACATGTAGTATTTAAGTGACCAAGTAGTATTGGGTAAAAGTTATTGAATCGTGTTGGGATAAAGTGAGAAAATTGTGAAGGATTAAAATATTCCAAGAGCTCAAATTACTTCATCAAAACATGTTTAAGTCACATTTTATCAACACAAATTGCACAGGTTTATTGAACATGAATAAATTGTGTTAATTTAACTCAATTGTTTAAGTTGCTGCCAAAGCAAAACATCTGTGTGCAACAAATGTCCACCATTGAATTAACTAAATCCAACAACATATTTTTTTCAGTGTAGAGCAGGAGAT